GGCACCAAGCATATCTGATGTGGGTTCTATGCTGGTAACTTCTGAATATAACCACTGCACAGTCGACTCAAAACAAGGAGACCAAAAAATAGCAGCGAGTCCTGGTGCTGTCATAACATCTATTCATTTCTAAATACGTAGATCAAGCATAAAATGAAGACAACATGCATAAGGGAAGCGAATTATAGTAGGAAAAGGTGACGTAGTAAAATCAACAAGTTATTTTAAATTAAGCTATGACGCCCGGGTTTTATTTCTTTGTTGTGAAAAATGCTACACACAAAGGGGAAACGACACGAGGGTAAAAATTACAAGGAAAACTTATCCTACCAGCTACAATGTTGGATGTCGCGCCAGCTGGCACAACCCAAGCTAGAAGCCAGGACAGGAAAAAGCAAGCCGATCCAGGCAGAGCTCGCTAGACTTCATCTCCACTCGAGGCGGAGAAAAAACAGAGTGGTTATTCAGTCGCAATGGCGCCGCCATATGGGCTTGGTCACGTGGTTCGTGACGTAAAGGAAAAAAATCCTGGGGTCATGGGGCTGACCTAGATTCTATCTCTCCGTCATTGGCAGAATCGCTGATTAATGCCTACAGTTCAAAATAGTCATTTTGACTGACCGGAGTCTATGGTGGTTAATTGAACATAGTGAATTGTAGTAATCTTTTTCTTGATTGATAATTACAGAACAGTTATGCCGCAATCACTTCGCTTACACAATGATTATTTGTCTTTACATAGAACAGAATACAAACTTACTCTAGCAATTAGTACTCTGTAATGCTCCATTAGATCTTCATTGTCATGGCAACCGGACAGTAACTGCCACACTTCCCCTCGTAGCGCTTCTGGTATTCCTTTACGTGCCAGTGAGGTTATTTGTTTGGGTTTGTTATTCATATTGGTTCTCCATTTGGCCAAAGCATCTCCCCAGTTTTCTAAGATGACCTCTTCACAGTCCTTAGAGACGTCACCAAAACCACTCAGTAATGGTTCATCGTTATCTGAGAACATAATCATCTGGTGATCAATCTCTGAACCAGTTGTAGGTACAATGTGTAAACATTGAATACATTTACACTACACAAACATACACATAAAACTATTACTACATGTACTACTCAAGACAAAGTAAAATTTAGAAAATCACTGACCTTCATCTTCATCCTGTGGTGTTGGTGTGGAGTTAGAATGCTCTAATGGCACGGCATGTGGTTGTAATGTATGAGTAGCACGTCTCCTTTCTAATTCAGTTTCACTAATTAAATTCACCACTTCAAATGCTTGTTCATTTTCAACTTCACTTGGCACCTAGACACAATAAATGACACATCTAGTTTTTACAAACACATACTGTGTTTGTTCTATTAGAAGCATGTACCATGCACGTTTGAGAAATGATGTCGGAAGGGCATGGACTATGTTTGATAGGGAATAACAAACTAAGTATCCATTGGTACATCACATCAAAGGTTATCGTAAACCAAAAAAGTGACCTGCCCTGACAAACCTATGTATCTTGTTGCCAACATAGAATAACGACATAACACACCATAAGCAGTTGAATTTGAAATGATAATACTACAGCTTGGCTGCAAATATTATACTTTTGTATAAGAATTAAGCAAACATAAATTCTACACAAGGAAACAAGTTGAACACTCATAACTTTTAAAATGATCGCTTTGCATGCATGCTGCTCTGATATTGATTCCAGAAAGTGTTTCAGATTGTATACATATTTTATACAAAGACTGTTTTAACCATGGAAATAAAAAACTGTTCTAAGTAATATTCACATAAATGTCTATTTCATGACTTAAAGGTTGTGAATGCTTTTATATATACCATACTTTCCTGAGCATAAGCCTCTCCCCGAGTATAAACCCACCCCTCTGTGTTTGGACATTTAATGAGTTGAGGGTATCCCCGAGTATAGGCCCAGGGTGTTTTCACGACGACATTTATTAAAATATGCATGTAAAAGGTGTATTTCATTGCATACAAATCATGATTGGTAGCGTAGTTTGGTTCCAGCTCTACGAAACTCGTGTTAAACAGAGTGCATGGCGGGCAAACGTATGTGATAGAACATAGTTCGCATATTTTCTATTCTGATATTTACTCTGGATGAACCCTGATGTTGCAATATTGAAATAATCCATATTTCTTTTGAGTAGTAGTTTTACAAACGGCAAAAATGTGACCGTAAAGTCGTGAAACCTGGTCATTTGACGTTTTACTTTTCCAAATAATCTTGTTCATTGAGTCTATTGTGAACAGGTATGAACGGGCAAACTATTCTTTGACATGACTTGTTGGTGGCCGTGAAAGGTTTAAATACTTCCCTTACCCTCAGTTTACCGAAAAATGTAATTTGGATAATATTTCAGAGTTGGGAAAATGGTTACAGTTTTATACGCACCAAAAAATATTTTTTTCTGAGGTGGTCCTCGAGTATAAGCCCAACCCTTATTTTTCCGATTTTATATGTTCAGGCCTCTGGGCTTATTTTCGGGGAAGTACGGTATATACATATTTCCTGTGAGTTATCAAGTTTAGGAAATGGTTATACTAGAAACCTCTTTGGCATGCACTTGTAATTGAAGTAACATGTAACATGCATCAGTAACACACTATGACTGATGTTTGAATGAAATCAGTCAAGGCATGTCAGAGAAACGGTTGATGAAATGTCCAAATGTTGATTATTGGTGTTTTTTGTACCAAGTTTGAATGAAACCCATCTATACACGATTAAGATCTGTTTCTGGAATTGCAGAAATGCTTAATTTTGATGAATTTTTAGCACAGAAATGGCTGCACTAAAACACACAGTGACGTAATAATTTAAATAAACAAGCCATGCATGGCACAGTCCTCGTTAGTTATCCAATTTAAGATATATAGTTTTGTTTATAGTAATATAGCTGGAATATGACCATGTCAGGAATATGATTTTTTGAACATTTAAATGATTGACATTTGTATCTGATCGTCAAAAAAGTACTTGTCCATATTGAGAGATATTGCTCTGGAACAGCATTCAAAATCAGCCATTTTGAATACATGTATATATATAACATGATGTATAGCGAATATATAAAATTTGAATATAATCAGTCAAAGCATTTAAGAGATATGGCTCTAAAAGCCTAATCATTAAGACAAAATGGCCGCCAGTCAGCCACTTTGAATCCAATCTGAAAAATAAAATGACGTGCATCAGGAACCTGTAATGTCTAATGTATGCACCAAGTTTGAACGAAATCCATCCATAAATGCCAGAAATGCTTGATATTTGATGATTTTTTAGCACAAAAATGGTGACCATTTGGCCATTTTGAATAGGATCATCAAACCAATATATCTGTCTATCTATGACATGATGTATAATGAATATTTAAAATTTGAAGTCAGAGATATGGCACGAGAACCACATTCATTAAAACAAAATGGCTGCCAGTCGGCCATTTTGAATATTATCTGAAAAACAAAATTATTTGCATCAAGGTCCCATAATGTCTAATGTACTGTATATATCAAGTTTGAACAAAATCCATCTGTAAACAGCCGAGAAATGCTTGATTTTGATGATTTTTTTAGCACAAAAATGGCTGCCATTTGGCCATCTTGAATCAGATCGTAAAACAAAATGATGTGCATCAAGGTCCTATAATATCTAATGTATATACCAAGTTTGAACAAAATCCATCTGTAAACAGCTGAGAAATGCTTGTTTTTGATGATTTTTAGCACAAAAATGGACGCCATTCGGCCATCTTGAATCAGATCGTGTAACAAATTGATGTGCACATGTATACTATCATGTATGATGTATGTGTGAAGTTTGATTGTGATTGGTCCAGGCATTTCTAAGATACAGGTTCGGACGCACGCACAGACGCACGCACGCACGCACAGACGCACGCACGCACAGACACACGGAGGTCAAAACATAAACATAAACATAAACATTCTTAAACAAACAACACATACTTACTTCTTTCAGGGTTAAGTAAAATTGTTCATGAATTGGTTTCTTATTGAAGTACCAGAAACGTTCAGTGGGAGGGAAGATGCGTACTTTGGTCTCAATTCGGAATCGAACTGGTTCTTGTATGCCAGCAATCACCAAGTCTACTGCTACTGTCATAAAAACCCTTGTACCTGAAAAATATGTAAATTAATCTGAAGTCTCAATGTCCATCATAGAATATAACATGAACTGTATTAGTCTAAATTTCCATCATAGAATATAACATGAACTGTATTAGTCTAAAGTTCCTTCATAGAATATAACATGAACTGTATTAGTCTAAAGTTCCATCATAGAATATAACATGAACTGTAATAGTCTCAATGTCCATCATAGAATATAACATGAACTGTATTAGTCTCAATGTCCATCATAGAATATAACATGAACTGTATTAGTCTAAAGTTCCATCATAGAATATAACATGAACTGTATTAGTCTAAAGTTCCATCATAGAATATAATATAAACTGCAACATTTCGAGTTGATGACAAGATCCTTCCTCAACTACAGTATTGAAAACTCACGTCACCCACATCAGGGTAGAGCCTCAGAAATCAAGAAATAGATGCCTCAGAATAGTTATTTTGATTGTCACATGGTTGTGTTAAATTATCCATGAGCAAAGTACAATACCATGACAGAGAGAACAATACTGTATTTACTCTTATTTTTATAGAAAAATAAGTGATATTTTCATGATTCAGTATATAAATATGGTAGATCTTTGAACATTTAGGTGAATTAACCTATGCTTAGTGATGTGCATAAAGCAATGTGACTGATATGATTGACACACTCAAAAGTGTGTTTACACTCATAATCTATTTTACTTATATTTTACTTATAATCTATAACCCAATCATGCAATTTACTTGACTCTGATCAAAACATTAGGTTTATATCTGTTATACCACGCTTTAACTCATCCCTATTGTCCTAATCACGCTTTCTTTTTCTGGTATCCAACATTTTTCTCCAGAAATGGTCAGTTTATTTGGTGAAAATTGTCTACATTTAGACATAGTCTGCGTGTCTGCAAGTAGATAGTCTGTGCTTGCTGGTGATGAACATGTGTGCGAGTACAACTTATTTTTTACTTTTTTTTTGTTTTCCAGTGGCAAGAACCCAGACACAAACAACGTCCCTTCTTATCACTGTAAAATACCTTATTTTAGCTGGAATTAATTTTTGCTGAAAAGATTTTTTGGGTGTTCTGTATGAAATTTATTTTCACTGATTTTTGATGAGTTGAAGC